GCCAGAAAACAAATCTTGAATGCTATTTCCTGCTTTATTCTCCAAGGTTTTTATGACTTCTTCATGCTTTTGTTGTTCTCAGGAAGACCCAGCAAACGCATCGTGGGCACGATGCAAGGTGGAGACTCCGATGACAATGTAAGTCTCCTGCTCCCTTCAGCGGTTCTGAGTGTTGTGGGCTTGGCTGTCCCCATAGATGGGAGTGGCTGAGTTGCTGCCAGCAGCCAGGGAGCCGTCTGTGGTCGGCCCTGCCATGGCTCGATATGTGGCAGGGTTTGGCCTCGTGAGGTTCTGGACTCTTCCTTGCTCATTGGATGGCTCATTTCTTTTCAAGTGAATGTGCTTGCTCTGCTTTTTTTTGCCTTCTCACTGTTCTTTCCATTCTCGCTTTCCAAAGATGGAAGCAGCACCAGCTCTGTTAGGTAAATGCAAGACTTCCAGCTCCAAGAAGCAGGTTGGTTTTCTGTTCTGCCTCGTGCGTTTGTGGGTGTCTGTCAGCCCTCCCAGCGCCAGTCGGGGGCCTCTCCCTAGGAGTGATGCTTCCTCTATCCTCGGCAAAAAGCCTCTCGAAAGGGATCCCACAGTGAGAGCGGGATCACTGAAGGCCCCTATGATAAGGAGGAGGCACAAGCCCCGAGCCTGGAGATGGGGAAAGCTGAGGCTGGGCAGTCCTCAGGACCTGGGCTGTAATCTAGAAATGAAGGAGGACGCCGAGGGCCTGGCTCAGGACCAGCCTTCTCCCCTACTCTGTACTAGGGAAGGAACGGGGAAGCAGTGCTGTCCCCAGACCAGGCCCTCGGGCACCGGGCATGATGAGGCTGAGATAGCAGGTTGCCTTGAGCTTTAATGAGTGGATAACTCACTGGAGCACTTCACCAGAAGGGGAGCCTGGGGATCTTCGTTGTGGGGGTCCAGTCATTCAGGGCTCTGCTGGCCATTACTCAGGCCTTTGTTGTTTGTTGCCATCCCTGGAAGTGCTGCTCAGCTCACAGAGCAAAGGGCAGCTAGACAGAGTGACCCCAGGCTGCTTCCTTTGGTGGGTGCACCTGTGCCTGGGGTATGGCACTAGTGGCCGCAGAGACAGAAGCAGAGCTGTATGTTCTTGCACACAGATTTACGCACCTGCCGCCGGTGCTGCTGTGGAATTCACTGTGGGGAGGGGCTGCCCAGACTTGCCGGCAGCATGCACAGAGATCGGGCCTTGAATTCACAGGTCAAGGTCTGTAGAGAAGCAGAGAGAGGACCTAGAAAATAGTTTGCTTAACAAGCTCGGGCGTGGATGGTAAATAGCTTCTCTCCATCTTGCCTACCCAAGACAGAAGCTGAGGGAGTCTGGCATGGGCACTGGGGATTCAAGGAAGAGCACTGCCTGCCTCTTCCTCAGGGTTTGCATTCTCTCTTCGCAGAGAGAATGTGTTAGTTGCAGCTGAGCTTTATTCCCTTGTGGTCACTTGTTAATTTCAAGGAGGCTGTATCCATGCAGCCCTCTAGGCACAGGGTTCCGTTCTTTTTTTTTTTTTTTTGAGACGGAGTTTCACTCAAGTTACCCA